TTATTGGTAATAACTAGAGCAATATGTATTCTATAGTTTTCCTAAAAGCCAGAAATACTTTCAACTGAGCTCTAACTATAGGGAAAACTGTCCTCACCAGACAAGTCACAGAAGACATGGGTTACTCTCTGCCTACATGCATTTTCTTGCCTTGCCACTCTTCTCTGTCCAACATTATTCAGTTCATTCCCTCCAGAAGCAATAGATGGACTATAATCCAATTACTTTATGCCTAGGGCAAGATTCACTGCCATTCCAGATTCTGCATTTCCTGTCTTCTAGCTAAATCAGTAGATATTTGTTGAATACTTCTTTTGTGTGGGGCTAAAGTCACGTTTCTCGAACTATTTCTGCAATGCCCTTTACTGCTGGAGTACTTATCTCCACGTAATCATCAAGGATCTAGAGCTGGTGAAATTCATGGTCACCAGCACCTCCTAGTACCACAGGGGACCAGGGCCATTAGTGTGTGTTTTAAAGGCTCACCCCAGAGAAGGTGATTTTACTCACTCTGGTAAGTAAAATTGAAGAAGTTTTTATGAGTGTTTGCTTCATTGTTTCTTTATAGTCTTCCCAATTCCAGAAAGGATTTTAAAGAAAAAAGTTTTAAAGAGGACTAGAAACTTTTCCCTAATCACTAGCGTTGAACTGGGGAATAAAGTACCTGTGTTTCTTAATCTGGTGTCTCATCTGCATGAATATCATTCACCATACCTACTGAATTCTTAATGATCATTGAAGAGGCCCTTACTTGTGAAGTCTCTCCTAAGTTCCCACTAGGGATGGAGTGCATGGCATGGTCCCTGAAGTAAACTCACACCAAAGCCATAATAAAATGGGCAAAATTGATGACAGCAACTGTGCAAATTGTGAAACAAATGTCTGGGTCCTATTTGCCCCCATCACCCTCCCCTCATCCCAGATACATGTTGGTTAGGTTAAGCCTGGCAGGCCGGTGGCATGAGGCTTTCCTGCTCATTACCAGAGATGCTGGACCACAACTTGACAGTTCAACTAACCCCACTACATTGTAATTACTGTTTACGCATCTCCCCAGCGAGAGGACTCCTTGAGGTCAAGGACTGTCTAATTCCCCTTCCGCCTACCCCTCTTCTGTGCTCAGCACATGCCACTGAAGGAAGGAACATAGTGTAGACACTACTGATAATTAAATGAAGCTACATTGCTGGCGTTCACTCACATCTTACAATCTCACTGGACTTCTTTTGATGATGTTGCCATCGCTTTCTGCACTGAGAAAGGCTCAGAGGGCAGAGGAAAGATGAAATTCAGAAACAACCACCTACCTCCCAAAACAATAGTGGAACACACAAGCATTATGAAATGTCCACTTTTGACGGTGTAGCCAGCTGAACTTCCACAGAGCAAGTCAGGTCTGTTACCTTCTCCTTGCATCCAGAAGGAAGAGTTCATGTTTGACATGGCTTTCTCAGTTGTAACTTGACGAATTCGTATGTGAGTTATTATCTTCACCACCACAGACTAACCTGTTCTAATACGCAAAAAGAAGAAAATGAGACTTGCCAGGTCTCAGTGCATCCACGTTCTTTCTACGTAAGATTTTACCACACTCAGATCTGAGCACATCTCGTCTTGCCATAGGGCACACATGGATACCTTCTTTTCTACCTTTTGCTCGAAGAGCATTTTATAGGAACACCAACAGCGGGGCTAGTGTTTCTTCCTCACATTTCTACATATATATGGGAGAGCGACTGCACTGATTTCTGCACTTAATCATTGTATGATCTAGTAGTGTGTTTGCCTTTCTCATTGGACAGTGAGTTTCTCAAGGGTCGGGGCTGGATATTATTTTTCCTTAAGGCTGTGCACACAGTATGTGGCCCATAATAGGCTCTCCATAATATTTGATCAACTGAACTTTTTGAGGGGGACCTCTTCCTCTATGGGTGCAAATCATTCTGGAATTCCCCTTTACTATTTCAATCCCATGTTTCCTTTTCCCTCTCTTGGGCCCCTCCAAATCCAAAATCCAAATGAGGTCAAAGTTGAGTCACACCAGATAAGGTCGGGATGGAGAGGGGGGTGAATAACCTAAAAACAAAGGAAAATACTAAAATTGAGGTTTTATCATATGGTGCCTTTAAGTGAATTAGAAAAAGTCCCCCTTCCTGAATACAGGGCACATGGCTTGGCACATAAATAATGGGTTTGATTTCAGCCCCAGTACCTACCCTCAGCTGGTGCCCTTGTGCAGAACACAGCCCGCACAAATCTATGTGGTGGTCCTGAGAAGGACTCATTCTGTTTTATTTTTCCTTGCAGTTAACCTTAACCTAAGAATTCCTAGAGGTTCCTGAAGTATCCCCAATAATATTTAGAGTTAACCTTTGGTTCTTCATTTTGCATTTGTTTGGTCTACAAGATAATGATTCTGGTGTGAAGCAGAAATGGGCCAGAAATGAGATTCAAGATGCTACATCTTCAAATCACTTCACCTGTCCCTCAAATAGCCCTTCAGGTCCTTGGCATCCTCACATCCTGCTATCCCCACCTGTCACTACAGCATCACTCTCAAATCAGGTTCTCCAAACTACCAAGACCAGAGATACCATCTTCCAAGGCTAAGCTGGTTCAGAGTTGAAATCAAGATGAAGGCTCTTGAAAATCACGAAGAACAATGTTCAGCTCTGTGGCTGTTTGCCAGGGACGGTACTGCCAACTGATATCACACCCAAAGTCATTTCCATGCCTAATTCCCATTGGTTGCTTGCCAACTTACTTTCATTCTGATTGGCTATATACAACATCCCCACCCCCAACCCAGAAGCAGCTAAGTGATCCAGTTCCAGGGAAGCTTGCATTTCTTAATGCTCAAGCTGTGTCTATACCAACAACTGTTTTAACTGATTTTCTTTGCCTCAAATCTAATCACTAAAAACACAGTGCAAATTTAAACAAATGAACATTGTTAATAATTTATGGTTTCTTTCCAAGGAGGTTATTTGTGACAATGAAATTCTACTCTCCCATTCTTATGTCATACTCCTCTAACACTCTTCCCCAGGGCACCAAGAATAGCACCACAGCAGTGAGATTACTAAGTCTATCATCAATCTTTGCCATCACTATATATCAAAGAAACTTTGACCAATGAAAGTCCCAATTCCTACTTGAAACTAAAGAGTTTTAGTCACAGCTCTATGTCTGGCCCTGATTGCAGCAACCACCACTGGTACTCATACACCATTGTCCAAAATACTTGCTTTCAACAGTTTGTTGTTGTCTGGTACGGGTCTTTTAAACCACTCAGCCATAAATCCCAAGGATCATGTTTAAAAAAAAAAAAATCTATCTTATTCACAGGCTGTCTCTTGAGAGACCCATTTCTTACTCTTTCCCGTGCCCTTACTTACCTCTCCTAGTTACCAAGTTCACTACTCTTTCTCCCATTTTCATCTTTATGTTACCTATACCACTGGTCGCCTTGAATTCTCTAAAATGCTTCATATCATTTTGAGTAATGTCCTTCCGCCTTCTATCTAGTTCCTACCCTGCTGTCCCCTCAACTCACTTGGGTCATCTAGACCCGATGGGTAAGTCTTGTGAAGACTTACATTTCAAAATTCAGATTCTCCATGGCTTTTTTTTTTAAGATTTTATTTATTCATTTATTAGAGAGCGAGTGAGAAACAGCATGAGAGGGGAAAGGGTCAGAGGGAGAAGCAGGCTCCCCGCCGAGCCGGGAGCCCAATGTGGGACTCGATCCCAGGACTCCAGGATCATGACCTGAGCTGAAGGCAGTCGCTTAACTAACTGAGCCACCCAGGCACCCAAGATTCTCCATGGCTTTTAGAAAAATCCTCATACCTTGAGAAAACTCGGACAAAATTCATAGTTGGCTCTAGATTACACATAGTTCTGCTAGAGATAGAACATAACTAAAATACAGAGATGATTGAATTTCTTTACATCACAATCTTTCCCATAGAGCTTAAAGAAAAGCAATAATAAATCTGTATTTCACCACTTTGCATAGAGCCAGCTGAGTAGACTATGATAGCTTTAGGAGCTGAGGGCTGAGAGGCTGCCCAGGGTGTTTCCCTCAACCCCATATTCTCATAATAGATTATATTATCTGACTGAGACAAGGCTGGTTAGTCATAGTTTCTCATCCCCCTATACAATGATTGGTTCAGGGATGGACATGGGACTCAGATAGGACCAATTAGATGGTTCCTAAGCTTAATATATACCATTATTGACAGAGAGCTATTCTCTTTGCATTTTGGTTTAGCTAGGACAATGATTGCCTACAGCAGCCAGAGGTCATCTTCCTAGAAGCACTGAGAAAGCCTATCTCAAGTCTCAGAAGTTCCAGGAGGCACCACATTAGGTATCTCTGAGGTCTTATGACCTCAAAATCCCACCTGAGATTTTATCCTTTCTCAGAATCCATTTCTTAGTTTGAGACTTTTTTGCCACCTAGAAAGGCTAGGCATGAGAAACAATTTTATTTTCAAACCCAGTGAGTACTGGCTGCATTATACTTTTTAACTTTCATTTGAAAAATGAACTGTTCCTTTTCAGCTCATCTCTCTCCTTTCACACCAGTAGAAGAAGCCAAGTGGCACTTGACTACTGTCTAGAAAAATCCTTAGCATGATCACTGAGTTCATTACTTAGACAACAGTGTGATCAAACTTACCACCATCACATAACAAGGGCCCCTTTTCTCCAGTTTCTAATAACATTTTCCTCTCTTCCCTATAAACTCCCACTAGTCACCTCCTAGGGGCTTTTAAACATTCTGCAGGCTTTCACTGATACTCTCCTCTAGGCCCTTTGGGCTTCTGCCTGTCACCCAGGCCCAAAAAGGCAACACCACATATTTTAGGATTTGTTATATCCATTTCTCGCTTCCAGAGTCCAAAATTTGTATGTTATGTATTGCTGCATAACAAACAGACACAAAGCTTAGTAGGTTAAAACAACAACAATCATTTATTTAGCTGAAATCTACAATTTTGGTAGCACTCAACAGAGAAGGCTTGTCTTCGCTCCATATAGCACTGGCTGCAGTGGCTGGATTGGAGGATCCACTTCCAAGATGGCTCACTCACATGGCAGCAGGTTGGCGGTGCCTGCTAGCTGCAACTCAGACAGGGCTTCAGGTTGGGGCCTCAGTTTCTGTCCACAAGGGTCTCTCCATACAGACTGGTTTCCAAGACTGAGCATCTCAAAAGAACTAGCTGGAGACTGCATCACTTTTTATGATCTACGGAAATCATGTAGTATTACTTCCACTATAGTCACAGGCCTGCTCAGATGGAAGAGGAGAGAACAGAGACCCACCTCTCTCTGCGAGGAAGGTCATGATCACATTGTAAGATGAGCATGTGGCATAGGAGATGTGGCCAACTTGGAGAATATAATGTACCACATATTAGATCAAATATCAGAGTGTACCGTCAGCCCTTTACAACTTGGGGCGTCATGTTAACCTAAATAGCATTCTGCCTGCTTCAGCTCAGTCTAGACAGTTGTTCTCAAAGGCTGGACCATAAACCGGTGGTGATTCATGACAAAAGTTCCATCATACATGGAAAAATGAGAAAAATATAAAAGTCCATAATAAAGCTTAATTTATTCAATTTAAAGGGCAGAGCCTTACAATGAAATCATACTTTCCCTTCTTTTCTGATGTTAAAATGTTTTCTTTAAGTTATAGTGAAAGCAGATAGTACTTGTTTTCTTAGTGATGTCATTTCAATCTCCTCCATTTTTTCACATTTTTCCAGTCAAAATACAGAAGTCTCAGGAACCACTATGTAGAGTTTATCACAGCATTGAATTTAGCCTTTGCTTGACCACTTCTCAAATAATGTGATTTAATTTACTAGTATGCAAACTGAAATAGCTCTGTGGGTGTTCAGATAACATCTGCGGCATGTAATTCAATGCAATAACAGATCACAGGAAGTACTGTATCTCTCAAAACTCAGATCCTCACATCAGTGGAATCTTTGAAGTGAGATCCAGGAATCCCTTGGTAATCACCAGGTTCACATGACTACAAAGTAGTGTGGTATTCAAGGTGAAGGTCAGAAAATAGAAGGTTACAGGAGAAACTAGATATATAGTCATGACGCTGTGTGTGCATGCAGCTGGCTTACTGGAGGAGTGGGAGTTAAAATGGGGCACTGGCACAAACAAGATACGCAGAGAAGGGTTCAGGAGTCGTTTTTAGAAAAGGTGAATAAGTTCTATAAATGAATGAAGACTAGTGAGCTCCATGAATAAGGTAGCACCAAAAGAGAATTTATTCTACTGTTATTTATTAACTTACTAACTTACAGGCTAAGAGTATGAAGAAAAACATGACAAAGCCCCTACCCTCAAAAAGCTCACAATTCACATGGGGAGACAAACATGTGAACAATTAAACATAATATATATGTGGCTATTCGCACTGTAGGTGCCCCAAAGAAGGAGGGATTAGATCTTCCTAACACTGGGGATAGAGAAGGCCAGGGGGTGGAGAATTACAGACTGATTGGCCAAGGGTCAGAATTGGCTTTTTTTTTTTCAGCTTTATTGAGCTATACCTGATATATAAAATTGTAAGCTAGGACTGACTTTTGAGAAGTTTCCATTGCTGGAGGCAAGATGAAGAATAGGATCTGGTGTCTTGGTCTGGGCTACTATAACAAAAGACTATCAACTGGGTACTTCATAAACAACAAACATTTATTTCTTACAGTTCTGGAGGCTGGGAAGTTCAAGATCATGGCACCAGAAGATTCAGTGTCTGGTGAGAGCCCATCTCCTAGATGGCTGTCTTTTTACTGTAACCTCACATGGTGCAAGGGGCAAGTGAACTGTTTGGAGGTCTCTTTCATGAGAAGAGACCTCCCAAAGGCTCCACCTCCTAACACTATCATATTGGGCATTAGATCTTAACAAATGAATCTGGGGGCGGCGGGAAGGATACAAACACATTCAGACCACAGAAACTAGTGAAGGAGTTAGAAAAGGAGATTGTTAAAAAAGTAAAGGAACCAGGGGCACCTGGGTGGCTCAGTCAGTTAAGTGTCTGCCTACGGCTCAGGTCATGATCTTGGGGCCCGGGGATTGGGCCCCACGTCAGGCTCCTTGCTCAGCAAGGAGCCTTATTCTCCCTCTCCCTCTGCCCCTCCCCCCACCTGTGCTTGCACTCTCTCTCTCTTTCTCTCATAAATAATTTAAAAAAAGAAGAAGAAGAAGAAGAAGGTAAAGGAACCATAATGACAAAAATGTGGCAATCAAGGAGTTTCCAGAAGACAACATGACCATATACATTAAAAGCTTCAAGAAGTTTGAAGATAAGGATTGAAAGACAAATAAAGGAGAGAGAGGTTTATTTTGTACTAGGCATCTCCACAAGTGTCTCAGTCTTATCTAGGAATCTTTGAAGTGAGATTCAAGAATCCTCCCCTAATTACCAGGACCATATGCCTGGGAAGTCATGTCATATTCAAGATCAAGGCTCAGAAAACAGAAAGTTAGAGCAGAAACAGTAAAAATGGCAACTAGCCTTGTCCCAAATTGCTGTGGTGCTTAAAGGTAACGGACTTCGCAGCGCACAGCAGGAGAACTGAGCAAATACAGACAGACATCCTTCTTCGTGGGACTCCACTGGGTCTACCAAAGGGGAGTGGCAGTTACTGCCCTGTTCTTTTGCTGAAGGCAACTGAAACTCAATCGCTCATGGATAAAAATTATCTCAAAACTTAAAAATTTGTGACACAAATTTTAAAAGTGTTATCTCAAAACCATGGCTGAGAAAGTGTCAACTGACAAGGAATTACTGAATTGCTTATTTCTTTTCCTTCCCCTCTATAATGAAAAACTAGCTTTTGGGGTGGGACAAAAAAGAAAGTCATTAAGAACAACAAATAAATGTGGGGGGTTTTTTTGTTTTTTTGGTTTTTTTTTAAAGATTTTATTTATTTATTTGACAGAGAGAGACACAGTGAGAGAGGGAACACAAGCAAGGGGGAGTGGGAGAGGGAGAAGCAGGCTTCCCACAGAGGAGAGAGCCCGATATGGGACTCGATCCCAGGACCCTGGGACCATGACCTGAGCCGAAGGCAGTTGCTTAACAACTGAGCCACCCAGGCGCCCCGAATGTGGGTTTTTTTTTTAAAACATGTTCTTTCTATAAAAATTTTCCACAAAATCAAAAGTAATGGAAGTCTCGGGGGCTTTCAGATAAACTAGGAAAAAACGACATTCCAAATCACTAATATGAAACCAGCAGTGATACTTAAAACCTAAAAAGTATAAAACAGAACAGAAAGAAAGATACCATGGAGTCCCGCTGAAATATCTATATTGCCAAACCTACAGAATATGGGAAATCTAAATATGGGTGTGTGTGTGTGTGTGTGTGTGTGTGTGTAGAGAGACAGACCAAGGAGGTGGAGGTTAAAGATAAAGAAATGAAGGTTTCACTAAAAGACTAAATACCACCTCACAGGTAAATTTTAATTTGGACGTAAAAAGTAATAGCTGTACAAGAAAAGGACCCTGATCCAAACCATTCTTAATATTTCCTTGCTCTAGAATGGCATTCTATAGCTTTCCTTTTGAGAGAGGGAGAACAAATTTTTCCTAGGTAATACATCTTTTTTTTTAACAATTCCTCAGTTGAATGGAAATGTCCTGCCTCAGTTACAAAGAAAACTGTTAGATTCCCTATATAGACATTAGAGCTCCCAGAGAGCCTTGGTGAGTGATTCGTACCCGAGTGCTCTCTGGAAAGAGCATGTGGGACTCACACGGACCTGCACTTGGAGCAGAGACAAGGCCAGAGTGTCTGGAAATAAGCATGCTGAATAGGGTAAAATTTTAAAAAGGGTGATTTAATTTCATACTTAAACCTTTTTATAAAACCTCACATCGATTTTCTTTACTTCAACTGGCATATTGAATAAGTTTGCTTTTATAAATACTAGAAGGAAGTGTGGTCTTTTATAAAATATATATTCAGTAGAAGGTATGATCTTGATTGACTTCTTTTCTGACCATGGCTTAGGCTACAGATTTGGCACTTTTCGCTTGACCTGAAAGGAAGCAGATTTTAAAATTACACTTAATTAGCTTGTCATATAAAATAAAAATGAAGCCAGTTTTTAAAATAATTGGCAGGAAATAAATGAGTATGTCCCAGCCTGAACCAGTCATTAATGAAGCCTTGGTATGGGTATATCAATTCAAGAATTCTCCCCTACCCTTTTTTTTTTTTTTAATATTTAAAGGTATGAGGTCACATTTCCAATATAATCGGTATTATTCTTCCTAATTCTGCTATTGAATAGAATAATTTGAATAAACTGCTTAACTTCTTTGGTCTTCACTTTCTTCACTGTAAACTGAGGGGATCATTTCAGAGGTTCCAAGATCTAACACTTCTATAATATGAAGGTATAAGATACTGAGGTGCTTGGAGGGGGTGTAGGAGACCTGGGGGGAGAGGTGATCTTCCTCAGAGATGGGAAGGGAAGCAGGAAGGGGTGATGGGCCAGGCTAACAGCAGCGGTAGATAGTGGGAGATGGTGGGAACCAAACTGTACCATCAATAATTCAGGCCTTAGTCATCTCACTCCTGGACTATGATGGTCTCACTCCCTCCAGTCTCTTCTTCATCCATTTTATAAGGAAAGCCATAGTATTATCCCTTACTTAATCCCTCTTCTCTGCTACCCCAAAGCCTTAAATGGCAACCCACTGCCCTGGAAATAAAGACCAAACTTCTAAGCTTATAATTCAGTACTTTTAATGAAGTGAGCGCAAGTTAACTTTCCAACCTTCTCTTCTCCTATTCCTCACAGACTCAACTACAATCAGCCAGATGGATCCTGGCCACTTCTCCGTTCCCATGTTTGAACCTCTCATCATCAGACTGGGCTTTCATTACAGAATTCCCTTCATATCCCACCCTTGCTCCCCATCCTTTCAGCAATTTCTCTTTCTTCATGACGCTTCCTCTTCATACTCAGGCTTCTTTGAATATACACAGCCCTGAGTTTATCTTTTCAGGTATGCACCCTCACTCACAAACTGGGTGGTGGGCTGCTTACAGACAAGGACAGTGTAAAGCCTCTGTCTCCCTTAAGGGGACCTCAGCGTGTGCTCTGCATAAGCTCTACATATACCGGGGAAAGACAGCAAGGGATATTCTGACAGAAAAAAACAGAGCCCCTTCTGACAAACAAAAAAGTCTTTGGTACTCAATATCCACATTCAAAAGAATGAGTTCACCTCATATATAAAAAATAACTCAAAATGGACCAGAGAGCTAAAAGAAAAGGAGCTAAAACTACAAAACTCTTACAAAAAAACATAAGACTAAGTCTTGGTGACCTTGGATTAGGCAATGTTTCTAGATATGACACTGAAAGCATAAGCAACAAAAGGAAAAATAGATAAACTGGACTTCAAACTTAAAGCTTTTTTGTCTCAAAGAACACAATTAAGAAAACAAAAAGATAATCCACAGAATGGGAGAGACCATTCGCAAAGCATATATCAGATAAGGGACTTGACTCCAAAATACATAAAGAACTCTTACAAATCAACAACAAAAAGACCAGTTTAAAAATGGGCAACGGATTCAGATAGATACTGCTCCAAAGAAAATACACAAATGGCCAGTAAACACATAAAAGATGTTTAACATCATTAGTAATTAAGGAAATGCAAATTAGAACTACATTAAGATATCACTTTACACCCACTAGGATGGCTAAATTTTTTTTAAAAAGACAATAGAAATGTTGATGATGATGTGGAGAAATTGGAATCTTCATATATATTGCTTATTGGCAACAGTTCAGCAGTTCCTCAAATGATTAAGCACAGCCTGGCAATTCTCTCCCAAGAGAAATGAAAACAAGCAGTCACACAAATTTGTACAGGAAAGCTCACAGCACTGTTATTTATAATAGCCAAAAGCATGGAAACTTGAATATCCATCAACTAATGAATGAATCCATACAATGGAATACTATTCAGAAAAGAAAGGAAAATTGAAACAAATTCCAACATGGAGGAACCTTGAAAACAATATGCTAAATGAAAGAATCCAGACACAAAATGCCACAGATTGTATGATTCCATTCGTGAAATGTCCAGAACAGGAAAATCTATAGAAACAGAAAAGATCAGTGGTTGCCGGAGGCTCGTAGGAGATGGGAGGTGATTGCCAATGGTGTTTCTTTTTGGAGTGGTAAAATGTTCTGAAATTAGATGGTGGTGATGATTGTATAACTCTGTGAATATACTGAAAACCACTGAATTGTACATTTTAAATGGTGAATTTTATAGTATAAGAATTATATCCCAATAAAGCCGGTATTTTAAAAATTCTTAGGTATGCCTGCCACCAAGATTCTGAATGCACCTTCCCCAGGAACAGGATAGTATTCCCCCAACAGGCTTTTCAAAATGCAGTTATAATACTGAAAGTGCTTTTTCAAATTCTGCCACTCTAGCTCCTAGGAGGACATGCCTTCCTAGTTGAAAATCAAAGGCATAGTAAATTATATAAAATTAAATAACAAGTAATGGTAACAATATTAAAATTAGTATTAGACATTCTCTATAGAAATAATTCAGTTATTATTTTTATTTATTCTTAATACTGAAACTAGTAATAAACCTAGGGAGTTATATCATACTTGTATATGTGCTGATAAAAGGTTAATGGCTACTTAATGAAGATTGTTAAAATCAGAGTATCTCAGAAATAACAACACTGAACTTCATCTTCATCTTTTCTGACATTCAAACCATTTTCATCCAAAACTTACGTGGTGTTGCCATTTTTGTGAAGATAGGAGTCACGGTATCTTCCAATTGTTGTTTCTGTTCAAAAATCTCGTTAATGGAAGCTTCCAAATGGGTTTCCAACCACTCATTTTTTACATGGCATGCAGTGAGGATGGTATTCTAGAGACAGAAACAAAGAGTTTATTTTCTACTTGTTTATTGAAAAATAAAACTCTATAGTATCTCTAAACTAGCACTGTGCAACAGAACTTTCTGTGATGATGGAAATGTGCTATCTGCATTGTCCAAACCAGTCACCATTTGACATTTATAGCCATAGAGAACTAGAAAAGGGGCTAGTCTGATTGAGGTACTGGATTTTTAATTTTATTTACTTTTAATTAATTCTAACTTAAAACAGCTACACATGGCTAGTGGTTGCTATGTTGGACAGAGCAGCTCTAACATTAGTAGAATGTTGTATATAATAAAACTCATAAGCTAGAGTCATGAAGTCTTGGGCCAGTGTACACCCTCTCCCTAATTCTTTAGTCTCATTGGGCCCTGTGATAAAGAGAAATGTTTGCAAAGGTTGGAGAAGAACAAGTCGTTGGTATGACCCGGATGCAACTCAACAGACAATGCTATTTTATTCCCTCTCAGATGGTTCAGAGGAGAGGAAGTGCAAGAAATTCCAGAAGAGCTCCACCTCACTGAAAACGTCTCTGTTTGCATTGCAAAGCTATTTCTGCCCATGCACAACAAACTGAGGGTGTCTGCTTTAAGATGTTTACTTGTTCTGTGGTTTATAATAAGAGAAATGAATGCATTTATTGCATAGCCTGTCCATATTATTAAATAAGCAGTATTGTATGCAGACATATGTAGAATCAAGTGGATTTGGAAAGATGTCCATAATATATTATTAAAAGGAAAAAAAACAAATTAAAGAATAATATGTAGTTTAAAAAAAGAATAATATGTATAGTGTAATCCCACTTTTAGAAAAACAAAACCTTATAAAACCATATGTGTGCGTACATATATTTATATAAGTGATAGGACAAGTATGGCAAAATTAACATAAGATTGTTGGGGTGCCTGGTGGCTCAGTCATTAAGCGTCTGCCTTCGGCTCAGGTCATGGTCTCAGGGTCCTGGGATCGAGCCCCACATCGGGCTCCCTGCTCCACGGGAAGCCTGCTTCTCCCTCTCCCACTCCCCCTGCTTGTGTTCCCTCTCTCACTGTGTCTCTCTCTGTCAAATAAATAAAATCTTTAAAAAAAAAAAAAAAGATTGTTATCAGAACCATAGGGTAAGATAGTAAGACTGGAAATGGGAAGAGAGAAAGCTATTAAGTTTGCTTTAGGCATTTCAATTTTGTTCTAATTGTTACTATATGTACACAGTATTTTCTAGTTCAAATAACCAAATACTTAAACACTGAAATTTAAAAAGTTTTTTATAGTAACTAGTTGGACAAGGCACTGTCTGTGGCAGGAAATTTTTGTTTCCCAGATCCAATAGCTGAAATAGCTATTCTAATAGAATTTTGCCTATATTTTGTTGGTTTCATAAGAGATTTTGTAAAGTGTTTTACAAACCACAAGTGAAATGTGTAATTTATCATGTTCTCAGACGTGGGGATGTATTACACTTTGAGCAATAGCTAATTCTTTTTCATGAGAATTATAAGTCACAGGGAATTCACAGAATATCCTGCACAGAAATGCAAGAGATAATTTTTTTTTTAAAGATTTATTTGAGAGAGACAGTGTGTGCCCAAGCAGGGGGAGGGGGAGACCGAGAGAGAGAGAGAGAGAGAATCTTAAGCAGACTCCCCACTGAGTTGGGAGCCCTATGTGGGGCTCCATCCCACCACCCTGAGATCACAACCAGAGCTGAAATCAAGAGTTAGTCACCCAACCGACTGAGCCACCCAGGCACCCTGAGAGAGATAATTTAAAACCAAAACACAGTTCTGGTACCTGGAACATATATTTTTATTTTAGTGTATATCCAAAGCAATAAACAAGTCCACATGCAGAACTTAGTATATGGTAAATGTGGGAAGTCAGCTTTACAATTAACTATCCTTACATTTGTGTATCTTTTTTTTATCATTATGTAGAGTTTGAATATGTAATATATAGATCTCGTCTGAATATGTAATATATTTCTTTGTATATACAAAGAAACTAAAATATGATATATATGTAAGTTTTAAAGCAAAACTTAATGAGTATCAGTAGACCCAACTAATCAATAGAATAAGTAGAACATTGCCAGAATAACTCTATTTCTGTGCCCCGCCCATAATTCATCCCCCTCTCCTCCTCCAAGAGATCATGACAATCTGTGCTTATAACTTTGCTTTCTTTTTTAATAGTTTTACCCTATATGTAGGTATCCCTAAACCATATAGTTTTATTTTGCTTGCTTTTGAAGTTTATAAAAATCTCTGTAGTCTTTGCTGATTTTTTTTTTTCACTCAACAATATATTTTAAAAATGTATTCATGTTCAGGTGCCTGCTGACTCAGTTGGTTAAGCACCTGTCTCTTGATTTTTGGCTCAGGTCATGATCTCAGGATGGTGGTCTCAGGGTCAAGATACAGCCTTGCATCGGGCTCCCTACTCAGGATGCAGAGTCTGATTAACACTCTCTCTCCTGTCCCTCTGCCCCTCCCCCTCCCCCCTTGCTCATGCATGCTTGTGCTCTCTCTCTCTTTCAATAAATAAATAAATAAATCTTTTTTAAAAAGTATTCATGTTGTTGAGTGTAATACTTAGTGCATACATCTCTATGTCACTCCTTTATATTATTTCATTTAATTTTTATCAGTCTATTTCTTCCTAGTTGTTTATTAAGGAAGGAGCAAAGGAAGGAAGGAGGGAGGGAAGAAGGGTAGGAGGAAAGTGGGAAGGGAGGGAGGGAGAAGACAGCAGTAAGGACCACCACCTACCTCTAGAGCATTAGTATAGAAATTAAAGATGTAAGGCAAAAATCTCAAAAGACTTCTGAACAAACAATAATCATAATGCAGTACCTTGTCTTCCTTAAAGAGCTTCCCTGGTCCCTTTTCTGTGTCTGTAACCGCTGCAGAGACCTTTGCAATATATTTTTTCAGAGCCAGCCTTGCATCTGAAGGAATAGGACAATAAAATGCACAATAATAAGACAAAGACTAAGAAATATGCTCAACTATTTACAAGGCACTATTATATATCTGGAGTTTATAAAGACTGTGTATAGAATGGGCGCCTGGGTGGCTCAGTCAGTTAGGAGTCTGCCTTCAGCTCAGGTTATGATCCCAGGGTCTTGTGATTGAGCCCCACATTGGGCTCCCTGCTCAGTGAAGAGTCAGCTTCTCCCCCTCCCTCTGCCCTTGCCCCCCACTCATGCTCTCTCTTGTTTGCTCACTCTCTCTCAAGTAAATAAATAAAAAATCTTAAAAAAAAAAAAAAAGACTGTGTGTAGAAGATTTGTTAAGGTTGTTTTCACTGAATTTCAAGATAGATGATACTCAACTAGCATAGCACTTTGGGACATTCACCATGTTCCTAAAATGGTGCTAAAATTTTGAAGACAAATAAATATTATATGTGATACCTAATCCCAAAGAGACCATATTCCATTAAAATTTCTACTCTAGAGAAAGAAACAAAAATTCATTTCCAATAGATGAGCCGTCACTTGCTTTACCCCTTGTGATCCTTCAAAATAAATTCAAAAATAGCTTTTCTCTTTTTTTAATATTTATTCATTTAAGTAATCTCTACACATAACATGGGGCTTGAACCCATGACCCCGAGATCAAGAGCTGCATGCTCCTCCAACTGAGCCAGCCAGGCGCCCAGCTTTTCCCTTTAAAAAAAAAAAGTGTTTAAAATAATTCCATTCACTATAGCACCCATAGTAATGTCATCACAAAATCTGCAAGACCTGTTTGAATAAAATTACACTTGGAGAGAAATAAAAGACTTAAATAAATGGAAAGGTTTACCATATTCCTAGATGGAACAACCGAATATTATAAGTTGTAAATAAGCCCCAAATTCATCTGAAGGTTGAAGTATTAACTTCCTATGGCTGCTGTAACAAACTTTGATGGCTGACAACAACACAAATTTATTCTCTCACAGTTCTAGAATCCAGAAGTTTGAAACTGGTATCAATGGGCTAAAGTCAAGGTGTTGGCAAGGCTGATTCTATCTGAGGGACCCAAGAGGAAAACCCATTTTCTTGTCCTTTTCAACCACTAGTGGTAGCCTGTATCCTTGACTGGTGGCTCTTTCCTCCATCTTCAAAGTACATCAGGTCTCACCTTGATAAACCAGAATAATCTTCTCATCCTTAACTGAAGGATCTACAAAATTCATTTTGCCATATGAAATAACATTCACAGGTTCCAGGAATAAGGACCTAGATATGTTTGGTAGCCATTTTTCAGCTCATCACAGCCTGCCCTAAAATTCACATCTATCCCACATGCAAAATACATTCACCTCATGCCAACATCCAAAAATCTCAGCACATTACAACATCAACCCATGTCCAAATGCTCATCTAAAATATCATCAACTCAAAAGTCTCAAACCTCATCATCTAAATCAGCTAAACAAGCTATGGGTGAGACTTTGGTGTGATCCATCATTCTGGAGTAAAATTCCTCTCCATCTGCAGACTTGTGAAACTAGAAATCAAGTTCTCTACTCCCAAAATACAATGGTGGGACAGGCACAGTGTAAGAGTTGTAGACACTGCCATTCAGAAAGGGAGAAAGTGGAAGGAAAACAGGAGTCACCAGTCCCAAGCAATTTTGGAATCCCACAGGGCAAATCCTATTAGGTGTCAAGACCTAGGAATAATCCTCTGTAGCAGAAGGCTCCATCCTCTTGGCCTGTGTTTCAGCCTGAATCATTCTTTTTTAGGAAAGGTAGCATGTATTCGAGCTGAATAGCTTCATCAGTCTGTTTCCTGACTGTAGGGTTTTGGGAGTCCAGCAGCCTTTTTTCTTTTCTTTTCTTTTCTTTTTTTTTTTTTAAACATTTTATTTATCTTTTTGAGAGAGAGAGAGCACAAGCAGGGGAAGCAGCAGAGGGAGAGGGAGAAGCAGACTCCCCACTGAGCAGGGAGCCCAACATGGGGCTGGATCCCAGGACCCTGAGATCATGACCAGAGCCAAAGGCAGACGCTTAACCAACTGAGCCACCCAGGCACTCCAAGCAGCCTTTCTTCTTTTTGTTTTCTCTGTGTCCCTTTGTTCAAACTGACAATGTTCCTACTGGTATAACATCCTCAAAAACCTTGTGAGTCTCCCTGCAAGCCACAGATACTCATTCCATTAAGCAACAGGCTCCTCCATGGGTCCTTCCGGAATAATCTTATTTCTATTTCTGACTTCTGCTAAGATGACTGAGGGGAGCCATGAGTATCACACCCAATCTCTTCAGCACAAAACACTGTCCAGCCACATCCTTGCCTTTTCTCCAGAGCACACTTTCCTAATAGTGAATCTCCTAATTTTAGCACTTTCCTAATAGTGAATCTCCTAATTTTAGCACTTTTGCTACCTGGATAGGCTGAGAATTTCCCAAATCGTCAAGTCCTGTTTCCCTTTTACATAACAATTTTTTCCTCAATTTATCTTTCCCCTCTCACATGTTACTATAAGCAACAAGAAGAAACCAGGTCATGTCTTCAACACTTTGTTTGGAAATCCCTTTAGCTAAATGTCCAAGTTCCCCACTTACAAGTTCTGCTTTTGGTATAAGGACAGGACACAATTAAGCCAAGCTTTCTGCCATGATTGTCTTTCCTCCATTTTCCAATAACATGCTCCTCATTTCCTTCTGAGCCCTCACCAGCAGCATCTCTAACATCTGTGTTTCTACCAACAGTCCACTCAAGGCAACCTAGGCTTTTTCTATGTTGCACCTCAAAATTCTTCTATCTACTCATTACCCAATTCCAAAGCCACTTCCACATATTTAGATATTTTTTACAGCTGCACCTCAATTCCATGTACCAAAATCTGTATTAGTTTCCTATGGCTGCTATAACAAATTATCATAGACTTGACGGCTTAAGACACTAATGTATTATTTTACACTTCTAGGTGCCAGAAGTCTGAAATTGGTTTCACTGGACTATAGTCAAGCATAGACAGGGCTGACTCCTTCTAGAGGCCTGAGGGGAAAAACCATTCCTTGCTTTTTTCATCTTCTAGCAATTTTATGTTTTCCTCAGATTGTAGCCCCTCCCAACACCTTCAGAGTGCATCATGCCACTCTCTGCTTCCAGTCACATCACCTTCTCCTTTTCCTGTCAAACATCTATTTCCTTCTTATAAGGACACTGTGATTATATTTAGGGTCCACCAGGAGAATCCAGGATAATCTCTCAATCTCAAAATCCTTAATCCTTATCGTATCTGCAAAGTCCATTTGGCCCTATAACATTCATGGGTTCCAGTAATTAGGACCTGGATATCTCTGGGGGCTGTTATCCAGCCTATCATGATCAGCATACACAATCTCATGAAACTCCACATAGGAGTTTTTGAGAGAGTTAAAAAGATCACTGTACAGAGGAAGATGGAAGCAGGATAGGGGGACCCTAGGCTCATCTCATCCCACAAACAGAAGTAGATAACAATCATCCTAAATACCCCAGAAATGAACCTGAAGACTGACAGAACAAATTCCACAACTAAAGTGAGAGAAGCCAAGAAGAAGAAGAAGAAGAAGAAGAAGAAGAAGAAGAAGAAGAAGAAGAAGAAGAAGAAGAAGAAGGAGAAAGAAGAAGAAGAAGGAGGAGGAGGAGGAAGAGGGGGAGGGGGGAGGAGGAGGAGGAGGGGGAGGAGGAGGAGACGGAGACTTAGACAAAGTGCCAAGATGGAAGAATTCATCCCACATGAAAGAACAAGATAAGGTCATAGCCAGAGATCTGAGTGAAACAAATATAAGTAACATGCCTGATGGAGAATTTAAAGCATCATAAAGATACTCACTGGACTTGAGAAAAGAATGGAAAACTTCAGGGAGACCCATAACACAGAAATAAGAGAGTTAAAAAGAATCTGTCAGAAGTGAAAAATGTAATAAGTGAGATTAGAAACAGGTTTGAGGCAATGAACAGCAGGCTGAAAGAAAACAACGAATGAATTATTGATATAGAAGACAAAATAATGGAAAATAAGGAAGCTGAACAAAAGAGAGAAGAATTATGGAACATTAGAATAGACTTCATCTTATGGAACTGAGTGACTTCATCAAAAGTAATAACATTTGTATTATAGGAGTCCCAGAAGAAGAAGAGAGAAAAGGGAGCAGAAAAATTATTTGAAAAAATAATAGCAAAAAACTTCCCTAATCTGGAGAAGGAAACAAACATCCAGATCCAGGAGGCACAGAGAATTCCCATCAAAATCAACCAAAGGAAAAAAAAAAAATCAACCAAAGCAGGCCAACACCAAAAATATTGTAACTAAATTTGCAAAATATAGTCATAAAGAAAAAATCTTAAAAGCAGAAAGACAAAAGAAGTCCTTAACTTACAAGGGAAAACCCATAAGGCTAGCTGCAGATTTCTCAACAAAAACACGACCAGCCAGAAGGGAGTGGTATGACATAGTCAAAGTGCTGAATGGGAAAAATGTGCAGCCAAGAATATTCTATCCAGCAAGGCTATCATTCAGACGAGAAGGAGAGAAAAAGAGTTTCCCAGACAAACAAAAACTAAACCAGTCCTGAAAGAAATATTAAAAGGGACGCCTTGAGTAGAAAGGAAAGACCAAAAGTGACACAAATAAGAAAGGAACAGAGAACATCACCAGAAACAATGACAAAACAAGTAATAAAATGGCACTAAGTACATATCTATCAATAATTACTCTGAATGTAAATGGACTAAATGTTCCAATAAAAAAACACAGGGTACCAGACTGGATAAAAAAAACCAAGACTCATCTATATGCTGCTTACATGAAACTCATTTCACACCTGCAGACTGAAAGTGAGGGGATAAAGAACCATTTATCATACTAATGGATGTCAAAAGAACACCTGAGTAGCAATTCTTATATGAGAAAACTTGACTTTAAAATGAAACTGTAAGCATCCTTTCTTGATCAAAACTCT